AATAAACTATGATTAATGCGGAGAGCCTTTTCAAATTGGGCGGGCATCAAAGGTCCCAGTCTCAGCGTTAATTGGGAATTTTAGTACAATTCTCGCCTTTCAAGTCAACGCTGGTTCCTTTACATTTTCAGTGGATTCGACAATTCTTCTATTTCTTTTTATAGTAATAATTTTTCGCGTAGTAATTACTGTGTTTGTTTGTATGTGTCATCACGCCCTATATAAATCTATTTAAGGAATTTTTAAGTCATTGTATTACAACTGATGAAGGTCTCGGACCGAAACGTTTTTATTAAACTCTTTAGACTCTTTTATGAGTATATGTCTTCCTTCGCTCGAAGTTGTCCGTCCTCTTGTGCCACACTACTTCTTGTACTATTTATCGAGGTTTGGACTGTGAATCCTTTTGGATCCTTCTGGCGCGGCGTCACTGTTGGCTCGAGGCCTTTTAACTTATTATATATATATAGCGTTCCCGGAATATTTTCTTATCCTTGATAATGCCGTTGATCGGTGAAAGCTCGGATTTTTAAAACAATTTACCTTTTACAGCAGTGTAAGGCTGCATTCGATTACTTTGCATACAGTTTTTGTTCTTGTATGTAAAACAGAAAAAAATCTTCACGCTAATGTACTCTGCCAGGTTTGGGTCTCAGCAAACCGTATTCATGAATAAAATTTTGACCAAGAACAGAAGCTTGTAGAAGAGAAAACTATCGAAAGCTCATTTTCGATCCGGGTTATTGCTCGAGAGTTTTTCCACTTAAAAGTTACACAAAAGAACTGAATATCGAACTGTTTAATTGCCGTGGAAAATGAAAAAACTATCAGGATATGCCGGTAGTCTGTATGAAAGAAACGAAGTCCTATCATTGTGAAAGCATCTGAAAGGATGCTTCGAAATAAGTGGTTAAAGATGATCGCATGACTTTCGAAAGTACCGTCAACTTACTCTCCGTAGTATAATTTTATATCGAGCTAATGTCTGGTGTCTCATATCCTTCGTACGCGATTTTATCTACATACAGCATACTCCAAATAAATGTCTTGCATAGTTTAGAATAATACATTTACTCTGGGTATTTATGCATATCAGACTCTAGTATCAAGAATAGCCATTAATTATCAAGAGGGAAGGCATGTGCATGAGTGAACGCCATGACGTTTGTTCTAGTGATGTCCAGTCTTATCCTTGGTGTTGAGCAATGATCATCGAGGTCAGAGTTTTGCTTCTCCGCTCAAGTAGCTAGAATGATCATGGATTCTTTATCTATCAAGTTCCATTCCCGTTACATTACTGGATTAGGCTCTGCGGAATCGAGGACAAGCTTAAGAGACCATCATCCGTGGGAAGACTGAATTGTCGCCAGCGACCCAAACCCCAAGTCTTTATGTGAAGGGCATTTTGCATGGGTGTCTTTGAAACTCATCAACGCGCCCATGAACAATTTCCAAGAGGTATGGGGTCGTCCAAATAGCCAGTGGAATAACATTAGCTTTAGCAACCAAAATGTGTCTTTTCCATCTTTTTCGCCAAACAGCCATTACGGCAATATTCTTAAAATGACTTTCGATGGCTAATGATGCACCGGTGAAAAACCTTTCAATAACCAGCCCAACTGAGGTATGAATTCCAAATTCTTGCAGTAGCATTAGAAGCGGAAAATTTTGTAAGTAAATGAATTGATACAAGTACAAAACACTGTTAACAGACACAATAGCAGTTGATTCATACAACATGCTTAGAATTGCGATATCAGCCATTAGTCTTTCCCGGCGAGGAGTTCGAAAACTTCCCCAAGGAGCTGATTTTCTTTGCAAAATTACATGGCAAATATGATCGATGAAAACCATGGCGCTTCTCTCTATGACTTCTGCAGCGCCGTGGACTGTTCCAAGAATGGCAGTAGATTTGAGGTTGTCGAGCTCTGCTTGCAACACTCGAAACATAATTGCTGTTCCAAAATACAACGGCGCTATCAAGACGAATGCAGGTCCTGGATGAGCTATATACCATAATCGCTGGACGCATAGTCGAAAGATCACCTAAAGGACAACCCCAATGAGAGGCGAGAAGATGGCAATCAGTAGCTTTCTTTCCTCATCTTGCTTGCTGTACATCGGGTAAAGGTATGACGCTACGAAGATGCCGATTACGAAAGGGAAAAAGCTTGGCATTATTATTTTGAAAAATAAATTCAGCCTTGTTGATAATGCGCGAAACGCATTTGTTAAGAGATGAATTTGCCAAAATATACTGAAGAGGAAGCAAAAGTTCAGGGGAATCTTGAGCAACACGGAAAGTTTAGAATGAGATATTCCAAGGAGTTGAAGGACCACGCGATAAAGTGCATCCAAAGAAAAAATAAGAAAAGCAACAAGGAACAGTTTCTTCTTGAACCTCATTATCTGATGTGTTTTCTTTGAGGTCTTGCGCATTGTTCTCTAATATCCTTTACTGATTGTGGAGCTCAAAGTGAAAATACTTCACCGTATTGAACAAATAAAGTACCCAGGAATTTCTACCTTAATTTC